GTTCCCTGTCTGCTCACATCTGGATCAGAAGTGTGTTTTCATCGTTCATTGTATAAACTCTGGTTTGTTTTTATATAATTGGAACATTTGGAAATTTAGGCATAAAGTGAATTCTCAGGAAAGAAGATTCAAAGCCCAAAATGACAAAAAAAAACAGTCATGATCTCTGTTGGACAGCAAGACTGATGCATCAAACTCTATTCAACATCTACATGCTGGATGTTCTTTAATCAGCAAGGCATTCCTCTGATTTTATTTCATTAGATCATATAAAAATTGAAAAAAAGAGGACTTTAATAACATTTGTTTGCACAGCAGATATCTTAAAGATTAGTAGTTCAGGTGGGTAGCTGCGTCAGCATGCGTAGGCTGCAAAGGAACAAGTAATAGGTTTATTCCATGCTGAAAAGAGAAGAAAGAAAACAACGTTTCGGCTGTGGAGCCTTCTTCACGGCCAAAACGTTGTGTTTTCTTTCTTCTCTTTTCAGCATCTTAAAGATTAAACAGGTAAAACTGATAGATCATATAGAAAAGCACAGATTATTTTTTTTCTGAGCCCGTTTCTTCTGTAACATTGAGTCAGCTTTCTACATTTGATCTATCAACATCTTACACAATCATACAGATGTTTTACTGTCTAAAAGATCAGAGTTCATCGGTCAAAGAGGGATCAGCACAGACAGATGCACTTGTTTTGCATGTAGCTGGAGTTATGGATTTGGACAAGGCAATCTGCTGTGTTGCACGCATGTGATCAATTTGGTATTGAAGTATTTTATTTCTCAAAAGCTCGCCACCAGAATTTCTGCTTTCCCCATTCTGAATGATGTGTTTTTACTATGAAACATTTATTCCAGAGCTTTGGGTTGACTTTTTAATAAGGTTTTTAATAGGTTGCCTGTGGCATTAAAAACATATTTATTTGAGCTTTCCAAAGGTTTTAACAAAATATATATTTAAGATCTATTTTTATTGATTATGTCACTTACCCCTCTTGGGCGTGAAGCAGTACATTTACAGAATATGAAAAATGTGAACAGGTTTCTTGTAAAACCAAAAATACCCACAGAAACGTGTATTATTTTACAGCCAGTGAATTGTTTCAGGAGGATGATGTAGTGGCTCAGTGTTTAGCATTGCTGCCAGTGCTGGGGTGCTACAGTATCTGTGTGGAGTGTGTGTGTTTTCCCTGTGTTCTAATGGGTTTTCTCCCCTAGTCAAAAGATATGCTGGTAGCTTCATTGGTTTCTGGTAAAATTGTCCCAGTGTGTCTGTGTGTGTGTCGGTGTGGACCCTGTGATGGGCCACTGTCCTGTCCAGGGTGTATCTTGCCTTGTGCCCATTGCTTGCTGGGATAGTCTCCAGCCCCCCTGCAACCATGTATTGGATATAGCAATTGGAAAATGGAGAGATGGATAAATTGTTTCAGTCTCCTGCCCTGACTCTTGATTTTATTTGTGAAAAAGAGGTGTTAACATGGAATTATTAAAAATATATTATTTTGCTCTGTGACTTAACTGATTTTGAATTGTAGTCGCTGAAACAACAGGCCCAAAAGCATCGCTCTTTTGAGTGCTTTAGTCACAGATGTTCCTCTTATTTTCTGCCCACTTGTAGCTGTGCTACTTGAGTCACTCGTTAATGCGAGTTGTTCTTTTTCTTACAAACTGGGTGTTCCAGCAAAACGTGTACTGTAAAAGGGAATTGTTATAAAACAAGCAGAAAGTGTTTGCTGTAGTACTGGAAGGCCCATTAATAACTGATAGGGATTCCAGGAGTTCCTGTTATAATTTGTGTCACTATAGGGTGGGGACTGAACTTTTACTTACTGTAGTTATTACTGTAGTCTACGATTATTAGTGAGGTATTAGCAGTATGTCAAAGCAAGAAACATTTAGAAAATATCAGATAAGAAACAGGTAGGGAAAGAAAACAGGAATGAAAAGAGGATAACTTCCTCTTTAAAAACGGTCATACCCAAATAAAGCATAACCAGAGACACAATATGACCTTGTGGTGAAACAGCTGGATTTTTTTAACTTTTCAGATATCAATAGCCACTTCCCAGTTCTTAATAAGCAGTTTGTCATCCTCCTTTTTATAAAAGAAACTGGATCACATTGGGTTGTAGAATACATATACTGTATATTAACACATTATAATAATAGTATGGTTAATAAGAAGTAAAAAGTAAATATAACATAATAATTATTAGTAAAATAATTTAGAAAAACGTCACAAGCAAAATTTAAAATCTCATACAGGGAATGCTGAATGGTTCATCTCAAAATTCAAGCACTTGTAAATCATTTTCCAGTCAAATAAATTTGGCTGTACTGAATGTATTTAAAGGGAAATGGAATATATATTGACTCTTCTTTTCATACAGACTCTCTTTTGTTTTCAAGACGAGAATTGAATGTCATAATTTTTCTGCAAGTGAGTCTTTTAAGTAGCTTAAGTAGCTTTGAACACAGATGGTTTAAGTGCAATTAGGAACAAAAGAGAAAAATAAGTTATCCTCATGGATTGTGTTTATACATGATTGTCCAAGGCACTCCAGGCTCTTAAGAAATTCAGATGAAATATTTCCTTTAAGTACATAAAGTTTCTTGCTCTCGGCTTGACCCTTCTGACGGATGGAAAGGAGGGCGAGTAAGACCTTGATGTGGAAGAGATGTGAAAACTTCTAGCCCTGAATTCTAATGCCCCTAATCAGAAGGAACCAGACCAGCTTTGGCTGAGCCCTTTAATTTTTATCAATTTTCCACTTCGCCATGGTAACGGGGCCTAAATCTGGGAAGCGTTTCCATGGGGATTGCGATACGATTTGAAGTGATGGTGGAGCCGACGCTGGCTAATTTAGGAACCTTATTTTTCTGCAGCTCTCCTGTGTTGTTCTGTTTAAGGCTAACTGGGCACATGGTTAGTGTCCAGCACTCTCAGCTTTTTCACTGACGACACCGGCTTTAATACACACATCGACCCCATATTAAACATTTCTAAGAAAGATATTTTATAAAAAAATGTGTAGCCAGAGTGAATTAATTTCAATCAGTTTATTTATATATAAATTGAGGAATAAATTCCTGTGTTAATGACATTTAGGTTTACTTTTTTTACATCTGCCAGTGATATATCTGAAACAAACTGTTCACTACCTACTGGGCAGAAGACTGTGAAAATCACTTTCTGTACATATATATGACTTCAAGCAAAAACTGAAAAAAACTATTTCTTCCTATAGACAGAAGTAAGAGATTACCTAATGACCGTCCTATTACCTTGTACAACTGTTTATCTTTTTTTTTTCCTCAAGTGCAATTGGAAAAGTTTCTAACTTCTGTATCTCCCTTATTACACAGCAAATGTTACAATCTGTGGCTGTGAAGATAATTTAAGAAATGATGGGCTGGGTTCATAAATATTTTAACTTAATATTAAAATTGCCCAAGTTGTATTTTGTAGCAAGATATAGTGGTTTGTTCAGGAGAGGCAGTAGATCCAACTGTTTATTCATTTCAGTTTGTCAAGATTAAAAAATTGCAGTTGGTTGTTCTCTAAGGAGGGACAGTGCTCTTGCCCGTATACTTCCAGGAGGCTGATTCAGAGCACAGCTTATACTCCAGAGCACTGTGGAAACTAACACAAACTGCAACTACCTCCGAGAGCTGAGAAAAAAGACCTGTGATTAACTAAGGTGGTCTGATTAGCACCCCTAAACTGCACTGAATGCCCCCCAGTTGTTTGCTATTTGATACAGAGTCATTATGAGCATCTGCAGTTTTGCTTGGTGATTAATATTGCACTGTATGCACAGACTAATTGGAACTGAACAAGCTGTCTTCTAGGGGAATGATCTTAAATAAGCTCACTCATCAATCACTCCAGGAGCAGCTTTATCTCAAAGTGATGGAACACTGGGGGGGAAGGGGGCTGAGTGATCCAAAATAAGACGTTAAGCCACATTTAGTTTAGTTCAGTGTTTTGTTCTATCAAGTGGATGGGGGGAAATGCTGTAATTATAACACTAAGTGATCATACTGTGTTTGCTGGAAGATGCCTAGGAGGTATAGATATCCATAGCTGGCTAAGGTCGCTGTTCCACTGTGGTGCTCACTTTATAAACAAACTCTAGTGGCTCAACATACTTTCACTGGTGCTTCAATAGCCTGGTGTGAGCACATCTAATGAGTTGTTTAGCTTTTTTTCCACTTTGGTAACAAACCCCTACAGGGTACTGTATATGGCATTACTTTAATTTGGAGAAACAGACTTTTTATGTGGCAAACTGTACAGCATTGTTTAGCGGTCTCCCTTGCCTCCTCACAACTGAACGCTAGAAAAAATGTAAAGTATCCTAAGAATACAAAATGGAGGTTTTTAGGGATATGGTTGGGGTGGTGTCAGTGTGTTTGGCCTCGTAGAGTGTTACTTCACAGTTTTATTAGCAGTGCACTGCCAATTTGTTTATTTGGTGCCAGAATTCTTAATAATAAGGACCATACAGGGTTTGGAAAAAATCATAACATGGGGAAAAAGTAATTTAATACACATCTGTGTGCACTACTTTATGCTAAAAGCCAGTTGGTATCAGATTTGTTTTGTCCCGTATGAGAGTATACAGTACAGCACTGCACCATGTTTGTCTTGTGTAATGCTGTCATCACCATTTATAAGATACCTACTCCAGTGTAAACATTTGTATGGTCTTTTTGAGAGCTGGAGATAATCTATCTCTTTATATGCGTTACAAGGCCTGTGAAATTGTATTAGGTGGGTTCAGTATCTTCCAATAGACTCAAACATAAATGATTGTAAGCCACAAACACATTTCAAATCAGGACTCGAGACCCTTATTTACAATTCCCAGTTAAGTGCAGAAATAAAAAGCGATCCATTTTACCATCTAATAACCCTTATGAGTAAATTACATACAATATAATAAGAAAATTCTTATACACTGCATATACAATTGCCTTTCTTTTATTTTTTTCCAGGCCAGTATCAGCAGCCTGCCTCTAGGACAATACGAGGAGATCATGAGCTCACTGACAATCAGGACCTGAAGCGGATTCCTGACAACTCAAGAGTCCAAGGAGGAAGTCAGCAGGAAGCTCCGACAAATGGAGGACCTGTACAAGGATGCGCAGCCCAACCTGCCACTGGACATTGGCAGTCCCCAGAGCACCGTGGGCAGCAGTGGGGCGGCAGGAAGTGGGGGCAGTGGTGGCAAGCTGGAGAATGGCATGACCCAGCTCATCACTGCCGAGGCCTGGAACATTAATCCCACCGGCCTCATGAAGAAGGCCCTTTCGCCTCTGGTGGCTGTCCCTGCACCCCCCATCGTCACGCCTCCCACGGAGTCCCCAGGGGGCGTGGCTCTCAAAGTGGCCGCCACTGTCCTCCAGCCCATCTGCCTTGGGGACAGCCCAGTGGTGCTACCCATCCACCTCCAGGTGGCTGGCAGCGCCACTCCGCAGGTTACCCCAGCGGGGAACACACCCTATGTCATGACCAACCAAGGGCCAGTCCCCCTTCCTCTAGTCCTGGAGCAGCAGGTGTTTCAGCATTTGAACTCTCCGGTGCTGTCGCAAGGTGCCCCTTGCCCCGCCATATCTTTGCAAAACAACATGCTCTGCCAGAACTCCTCCCTGTCCTTTAATCAGCCTCAGCCGATCGATCAAAAGCCTTCTGGTCAACCGCAGGAGCCTGGCATCCTGCCTCTACTCCAGAACCCAGGATTTGCCGCCATCCTTCAGGACCTCTTCCCAACCCAGAACAACCTCAACTCATCTCCTTGTCACTCTGCAGCATCCGCCCCTACGGACCCCTTCTCATCAAACTTTTTCCCACCGCCTCCACCACCTTCTCAGGCGTACAGCTTCCCACTGTCTCCCTTGGTCCCCCCAGCCACTCTGCTGGTCCCCTACCCTGTCATTGTCCCCCTCCCTGTGCCTCTTCCCATCCCCATTCCAGTTCCAATTCCCATTCCACAGAATAGTGAGTCTAAAGGATTCACAGGCCCACCTAAACAAGCTTGCACTTTGAGCAAAAGTACCCAGACGGCCACAAAGGAGAGCTTAAGCCCCCTTACGCTTCAAAACAGGGACTTTTCCTCCAACCATTCCCAGCTAGCTTCTCCATCTCTACAACCTGGCGATGTAGAAGTATTGGACCTTTCAATGAAATCCATGCCACTTCAAACCAAACAGGAAATCCATTTTCAACAAGACAGCGTTCTTGATTTGTCAGTGACCAGCATACGGAAACAATGTTTCCAAACAGCTCTTCTAGATCCCAGCAGGGACCTTCCCAGGGATGGTTTAGAACATCCATCTCACCCTCGTGAAGATACAACAAGCACTGCCTTATCTTTAGAGGTCTCTCACCCCGTAGAGGGAACGCAAAAACTGGACTCAAAAATGCTCAACAGCCTGGCTTCTCTGGAATTCAGCCGACAGCACAAGTGGGTGATGGACCCCGGCACCACCAGGCCGGGATGTGAACCGAAGTGTAGCAGTGGCAACATTGAAATTGTCAGCACCTCGCAGACAGCCAAGGTCATTGTGTCGGTCAAAGACGCTGTCCCTGCCATCTTCTGTGGCAAGATCAAAGGTCTCTCCGGCGTATCCACCAAAAACTTCTCCTTCAAACGGGACAGCACCCAGGAATCCATGCTGCAGCAGTGCTACGACGCCAAGAACCAGGCTGAGCAGAGAGATGCAAACGACCCCCTGAAAAAGTCTCTGAAAAACAGAAGCATCAAATTAAAGAAAATGAACTCCCAGGAGATACATATCCTCCCCATTAAAAAGCAGCGCTTGGCTGCATTTTTCCCAAGAAAATAAGGTTCCCAGTACATGGTAGAGAGGGGATGGTAGACTTCACTTTAACAACTGGGTCTCGTTCATATTTGAACATAAAACACGTTGGGAGGTTCCCCAAGCATTGTGAAATGGCCCTCTACTGTTCCGAACAAATTAAGGAAAGTCAAGTCAGCTTCTTTGTTTGGTTTGCAAGCACTTTACTGGTCTTTGTAAATTTTTGATTATCAAATGTTTTAGTAAGAAATGTCACAAATAAAAACCTTGACTACTCCTCACTGCAGTCAAATATAATTTCATGGGTTAATTTGTATTGATGCTTTATAAATATTCAGACCTTTGCTGACATACCATGAATATGCATTTGTTCGATCAAGCACAATAAACTCTGCACCCTTATTCGGATTCTCTCATTCAGTCCAATTAATATTCATGAGGCTGACATTGAGAGAGCTTAACCCTTTCGAGTGAGGGGTGCTGAAGGTACCCATTAGATATTTTGAGTAAAATTCATTTGGATTTTGTCTTTCGTTCATTTTACGAGAAGCCACCAATACTGTTAATTCTTTTAATTCAATTGTATTATAGGGTGTTTCAAAATGCTGTCCCAACTATTTCTGACTTCCTGTTCAAAACAAGATAATTGGACATTGCATTTGACTGAACAAGTTAACTGAGACTTTACACAAGAATGTCATGTGTGTCTGTGGGGGAAAGCCCTAGCTCTTAAACCTGTCACATCAAAAGGAAATCATGTTGCTTGTTCATGATTTACTCAACCACATCATCTTCTGCGATGCAGAAAGAAAATAAATCTGACAACCAATGTTTTGACAAAACTAAAAGAAGGCCCGCCTCATAATTATACAAAATGTTTGAGACGGTTGCCATAACATCTGCAAAGTAAAATTTGGTCTAACTGAATTGGCCAATTAACACACAAAAAAAAACTTCATTCAAAAGCATGAGTGAGCGGCTAATTTTTAAGCTAAAATCAGGACAAATGTTGTACTTTACCGTCCACTCATTTGTCAGCAAAGGGAACTTGACAGGTTTCTAAACCATGGCTCTGATTAATTTAGAAGTTCAAGATAGCAAACAATCGTAGATTGCAAATCCAGGGACCAAAGGCAGGTGTCTGGTAAACGAAAGGTGCTGTGCTTTGGAAGAGATACTAAGAACTAAGGCCATTTATGATCCCATTTTTGAAAGAGTTCAATCTGGCTGCCTTTGGATTCACCCAGGGTTAGATTTGTGAAGCAATTTTTCACTGGATCATCCAGTTGGGGCTGCTCTGCAAGTGATGAAGTGGTTCCCATCCTACATGTAAAGCACCTTGGGATGAATCAATTAAAACTGGGTCTATAATTCGCAACCAACAGGTGGGTAGAAGCTTTGATCTACTCTGGGCCCATGTCCACAGGGCACCAGGTACACTTCTGCCTCAGTAGGAGGTCTGAGCTTCAGGGAGCTGTCACTGAACCACATCAAATCTATGTCTCCCTTCAAAGGCCCACTTCAGTACCATCAATTCTGGAGACCTTCCTTTTGAAACTTGAGTCATGCTGCAGAGCACCTTAGAAACAGTTCTAGTTGCTGCTGAACATGCAGCCACTTACATTTCACAGTTATTTTTCTTGTGTGGAAGCTTTGAAACATTGCACTGGACATAAAACTGAAAGTAATTTAAAAGGGGGCAATTTAATTGGAAGTGGAGCTGAAACAATTTAAAAAGGCATTTCCATTTTGAGTATACCCCAGTTGCTTAAAGTTTATTATATAATCTACTTTTAGTTGGTGTTTGTGAAAATGACTCAAGAGTTGTATGTTTGGTTATTTTAGAAATGTATTTTGTTTGATAGGCTCTATTTAACGGCTTTTTTTAGTCATGCCTGTTGTGTATCTCTGTGTGTGCGTTCTAGAGTGAGTGTCGCTGGCTAAACCCGATAAACTACTTTCAGTCTGCCAAGCAAACTTGTCATTTTCACTTCCTAATTTTTTTTTTGCGATTCCTTTTATCCCCTTGTTTTAAAGATCGGAGCAATTCAGGGAGTGCTGTTCCCCTGGGACAAATTTGGGAGAGGATGAAAGAAGCCAATACAAAACTGTGTACTTGCGCATAGACACGAAGTACACACTAACCAATTCCGGCAGAACAGAAATGACTTAAAAGTACTCAGCTGTGTATTATCTGAAATTTTAATATTAAATACATTAGGCTCCTCTTATTTTGTAGTTGCTAAGTTATTTTAATGTACAGTACAAACGCATGCAGCTTCAGAGTATTTAATGCTATTTAATTTTCCTCAGATAACGAGCTAGCATGGCGTAAAGATGACTACAAGGAAGTACTGTATAGTTCGTTGTTCCGTCTAGAAGAACAAACTATTTCATAGCCTGTGAGTGCAATACCAGCTAGAATGTCTGTATAAAGTTTTCTATATTGTACTATTTATGTTTTAGCAGGCTATGTCCGTGAGATCCGGGATGTACAGGATACCATATTTATAGAAAAACAATTTTGTGAGGACACACGTAGGCCAAAGGTGTCTCGACAAAGAAGGAAATAAAATGGCCAGTGGACCTGACCTCACTGTCTTATTTGGAGGCTTCTATCCCTTTTGCTTTGCAAAGTACTGAGCTAAGGCGTGACTTCATAAGCTCAATAGTAAAATCAGTGGAGTATAAGAAGACAGTCTTGCGGCAACCATTTTGAAGTAGTGCTCTTCAGTGTGGCCTGCACTGAGCCCTGGTCTTTCCAGCAGTAATTAAATGTGTATTCTGTCCATGTCCTTGTGTTGTAGCCTGGTGTTGTGCAAGGCAGTGCCACAGCTGCAAGGAGGCAAAGATGCCCTTGAACTCAGACTGAACTCTTAGAAAACGTGATGATCCGCTTTCTTCAAATACAGTAGTTGTACCTGACCATTACAACGTCCGCACAAGTCTGGTCCTCAACCCTGCAAAACAGGATTGGTTCGTTATGAAAGGGTAGGGGGTATATGTGAGAAAACAATTCAGATGGCAGATCCTGTTGTGCCACAGTATCGATATTACATCACAACTTTTCTCATGATCTTCCAGCAATCCAGTCCAAAAAGAAAGGTAGCCTTCTCCAAGTAGTACTTGATCATTTCCAATAGAATGAAACGTGTGAAGGCTTCGTTATCAATGAGGACTGGAGGATGTCCCGCTGTATAAGATTTGGAGCGAAACCGCCCACTGTCATGACTGGAGGAAGGGAAACATTATCGCAGGTCTTGTCGACATGACTCCTACCTATATAAAGTGTTTTTATGGGATTATAAAATTCAATTCTTCTAGAAAGGCATTACTAAAAAACATGTGGCACTGCCTTTAAAATGTGAAACTGCTTATTACTTGTTTGTGGATGACTTTTTTTTTTGCAAGACTGGACATGTAGAAATCTATACAACTGCAACAGAGCTGCAATGTATTTGAAGACAGGTGAGGGATGGAACATGCAGCAGTGGGTGACTTCGTGGTTTAAACCACAAATCAGTACTGTTAATGTTAAAGCCAGAGATACCCTTGCTGATTTATGACATGTCAAAGGCAAAGATTTTGTAAGCATTTGTGTACTGAATGATTTTATACTAGCAACCATCTGATGGTTCACACACTTTTTTTAAACAATGCAATTGGACGAGCTATGTGAAAGAAAATAAAAAGGTTCTGCAGTACTGCGTTTCTGCTTTCTTCATTTTAAACACGCTTTCAATTTTACAGCATTTAAAAAAGGCGTCTGCATTCCAGTGGCTAAACAGGAGTTCAGGCAGAAATAAAACAACGCTACAGGCTCCAGAGAAAGGTTAAGCTCTATGAACCAGCTGTTGCAAGTTCAAGCCTGGGTCAGGTTACTAGCTGACTGTGACCAGGCTTCCCCAGGGTAATGATTGGGATCTGTCAGTCTCTTGGTAAAACAGCACACATACAGGCTTCCATTGGAGATGTGCCATGCCTTAGGATGGCATTAACCCTCCTGTAAGTACTGTTGTACTTGCAGGGTATGAAAAACAAGGATGCCCATCCTCATTCTACAAAAAAAATACAAAACATTTAAGAACTATTTTAGTTTCTGTTTATACATTATTGTTTACACTTTGTTTCACCTTAGACCTTCTTAATTTTATTTCAGAATTTCGGAGTAATAATAATTAATATACTTCAAGGATGTAATAAGAGAATGCCCCAGGAACTGACTCCTACCAGTGCTGAACCAAGCCAGCAAAGGTATAAAGTATTCAAAATGGAATATAAATTCTTTTGAAACTTACATATCAAAATATCTCTTAAGAGTGTGGAAAGAATGCATGAAAGGATAATGATCATCACTGAGACCCAGTGCAAAAACCAAGACTACAGAAACCATAACTACATTGTATTAAAAATAGATAATGCAAATATATTATATAATTGAACAGAATGTGATATATAACAGGCACACTGTGCAAGCTGTCACTTTTTTTTATAAAAATACATTATGGAAATTGAGACAAAACTCTTGCAGACAAGAATGTAACCCTGCATGATCTATTATACAAGCATTGTTCAAGCACTTGCTTTATTAATTAAGAATAATGGTCATGAAGCAGGATATACATACTGTGTCAATAGATGTGTATATATATACACACACACATTTTATGGCACATAACTTGGTCAAAAGGCAAAAAGAATACAGTCACATGTAGAAGGTATGATTACAAGAAAAACTCAAATGCTCTTTATACAGAAGGAAATATGGGCTAACACCATCTAGTTAAACCTGAGGAATATGAAAATAAAGCAAGGCAATTTCAGTCAAGTACTTGTAAGCAGTATCTTGTTTTTAACTAAAAGCAATGAAGTATAAAAGGCAGTAAGAAAAATTTTCTACAGCTTTTTCTAATGCTCAAATTTCCTAAAATTCATTTATATATATAGGATTAGTTTAAAATATTTATTTTCTACAAAAATTTACATTCTTGTCCCTGAAATTCATGGTTAAACCCATAAAAATGCCAAGACATGATAATAAAAATAATAGTAATTAAAAAAGAATAATCTCGAGCTGAGAGTTATACAGTCACAAGATGTGACATCAAATATTTCTTTCTCCCCAAACAAATGTACTCACAGCTCTCAGAACCCCACAGCCTACACAGGCAGGGGCTGAAACATGTTTGGAAAAACATAGTAGCACCATTATACAAACAGGAGAACAGAAGTTTATGAGAACATGTAAGGTTTCAAGGTTGTGCTCATGATTCAGGCTGTCCACTCCCCACAAATTTGCTGCTTGCTCATAGATGATATACAGTACTCTAAGCTCTTCTTTCATAGTGAATCACCACCTGCTGGAGCAAATCAGTTCCAGGTCACTTCCTGTCCACAAGCTACCAGGATCACTGCCTGTAAGTCCTCATCTGAGTCAGGTCGCACTCAATCCTCTCCCCAGTCACTACATTACACTCACTGCCCTCCTGCTGACTCAAGGTTCCTAAGTGAAATAAACTCGAGCTGCCAGAAATTTGAAGGCACAAAGCTTGTGCCTTGATCACTAAGGGTTGACAAAGATTCCAGACATAGGAACCTAGTTCAACCTAGGGAGCACAGCCAGGGATCTGCGAGTACACACAAACTCCTTCTCTACTTGTCCCTAGTACAGTGCCCTTGCGACTCATCCAACTAGTCTTTTCACAGTGGGCTTGTAAAGGGCTGCATATCATGCAGGTTTTCTCATAGCTTGCCGAATCCAACCCACAATGCCAATGTCCACAGTGGTTATGACAACCAAAGGAAGAGACAGTGGACACTGATCCATCTCAAACAGTGGCCGGACTCTGGTAATGTTAGGGTGGTTTAAATAGGCAAATATTAATCATCTGTTGAAGGAGAGTGGACAGCCTGAGCATATAAAGATAAAAAATACAAAAAACATAATAAAAAAACAAATTGCATCTTCAATAGGGTCATTACCTAAACATTACAGTAAGGGCTAACCATATATTTAGAAAAAGGTAGGAAAAATGTAATCAGTGTGTAAAATGTACGTTATTATGATTCAGCCTTTTTTCCTGGAAATCAATTCGTTTCAGTACAGTCTTTTCCTAATCCACCCCTTAGATTGCTAGAAGTTTTTTCAGTATTTCTGCCCTTTCCACTGGCACACTACAAAAACGGACCAATTTGGAAGGGGAACAACAACAACGCCGGAAGAATCTGGTTCTAACCAGCGGCACTTCTGCATGAATGATCTCACCAAGAGTGAAGATAATCTTCGGATTGATTTAATTGTTTTAAAATTATTTACTCTATGAGCATCAATTGATGCTTTTTTTGCTTATTTTAGCAGCAGCCCTGCTCCATGAAGGCCATGTTAGCGTTATGTCTACAATCAGCCCCAACCCTACTGAATTATACAAAACTAAGTTTTATAACATTCAGTTTGTTCAAGAGCGCTTTCAAAAGAGTGGACAAAAACATATTCCTCCTACCCTTCAATTCATAAATTATTCATGATGTGTTTTTTTCAGATCCTGGATAATGTCAGAAAACAATTACTGTATTTTTATACATAAAAATGGTAGGAAAAAAAACTCACACATACAAAGCAGTTTTATACATTATGTGATCTATCACCCCCCCTGCCACAAAAAATAATAGTTAATTCCAGTCATAGTCTACATTAAATACAACAGGAAAGCACCTGTTAATGTCAAACAATGTCTATTTATGCTAAAAATGTAGTACAATCAGCTCACCAGGAGTTTAGCCCTATTATGAAAAGCCGGGAATGGAAAAGGTAAAGATCAGCCAAAATCCCCCCATACGAATGTATCCGAGTGATGTTTCACGATCCCATTGACACTTTCCACTTAGCTTAAAACATCGGAGTACATCCATCTCAAAGAGTGGCTGGTGCTTATATGCTGTCCAGCAGACAGGATGAAAAAACATTTTATATGCTTGTCTTGCTTTTCAAATTAAATGCCTCACAAACAATATTTCACTGTAAATGAGCAAGAGCTACAAAAGAAAAAAAAGGAAAGGAATACTGATTCAATTTAGCCTCTGCGCCTCATTAGAATTAGGACATTGGCTGAACAATCTCTATCCTCGGGGCTACAGTGCATACTGTACGCATACTGTACCTTTAGCAAATGCTTTTGTTTTTAAATCACACAAAGAATATACATATGCAATGTAAACACTAGACCGATTATCCTTTGGATTTCAGCTGAGTTGAACTGTCTTCGTGAAAGTTATTCATCTTTACTTGCTGATAAAAAAGAGAGGTATGGTGGTCTCTGCAGTTCATAAATAAAAGAGTCTACAAAGATGCTTTGTAAAGAGGCAGCGGGCAGTGCACCATGTTTAGTATCTTGGCTGGTTGTGTGTAGATAAACACTGCCCCTGCCAGCACAGAGCCAGAGTGTTATCCCTTCAGCTGGACTGTGTCTGGTTCACAGGACAGCTCCAGCGGACTGAGGCCCCAGCCGGCTCTCCTGGCCTGTCCTGACTGCAGGGAGGAGCGCGGGGTAGCTAGTGCTTGCCCTGCTTCAGCCTTTCGATGTGGTAGCACAGCTTGAGAGCAGGGCCCAGCTTCAGCCCCATGTACTTCATGACCATGTCGCTCCGCAGCAGCAGCAGCGCCTTGCCGTCGATCTCCTGCGAACACAGAAACACCGTTATCGCGCTGGCGCGTACGACATTCGATCGTCCCAGCCCCTGACATTAAGAGGGGTGCCTCACTTTCTGCGCCCTAGGAACAGCTGATCGATTAAAAAACAAAAACAAAGCACCAAACGAGTATGAACAACAGAGCTATGAAAATTCTCAGTTAAGTAAACTCAATTTGTGCGGAGAAAGATTCAGAACGGAATGAAAAAGTCAAGAACGGACTTGTTTTCTGTTCTCTTCTTTTAAATAAGAGAATATAAAATTCTTTGCCAGCACTCAGTAGTGTTACAGGCACTCCGGGGTAAATACAGCATAACAATCGCTGATCCTGTGGAATTTGCCACTGGGTGAACACAGACTTCAGCTACAACACCCTCAAGGGCTGTTTTCTCAAAGTGGACCTCAAAGCAACTGTGTGATGACCTGAGAATATCGGTACAGTGTGACATGAAAGCTGCCTTCTGTCTTCTGTATTCATGTGTGCTCCTATAGTAATAAATTTAGCTGGAGCAACACAAAGAGAACAGTCATGGTTGGCACTAATTCATATAAACAGGAGATGTTTGCAAAACTACATCAAAGAGCTAAATCTCTTTACCCTACAACAGAGCAGACTGAGAGATGTGATACAAGTATACAGAAGCCTGTGGGGTTCAGGTTCAATCCAGGGAACTGTTTCACACTCAGTGGTGAAACAAAGACACAAAGGTTCACAATTGGATACACAGGGGGAATTCATTAGGACAGAGAATAAGAAAAACGTGTTTATTAAAAGAGCAGTGTATGTGCGGAACAAACTTCCCACCCAGGTGCTGAATGACCAAAACATGAGCCCTTTCATAAAACAGCTGAAATAAATTTTAGATTCATTTAAGTATCAAATTTCCAAATTAGCACAGTGGGCCGAATGGCCTCCTCTCATTTGAAGAGATGATTAGCGCCAGCAGGTGCCTACATCTTGTCCTCTTCTAAATACTTTCAATCCAAACTGCCTTTCCCCTTCCTCCTAATGTACAGCAGTTCTTTACCTAAACATGTAGTTCTATGTTTGTACTATAAGTACAGTTGAATGAGATAAGTAAACCATAAATCAATGTTGATAACTGCAAAAATCATAATCACTAATAGATAAATAACACCAATGTAACAATTTTTACATTTGCATTTAAGTCACCATGAGGAGAGTAAACCACTCATTTAAAAAAGGAGGATGTCAGTACATTTACAGTACAACTACATTCCACTAAAGTTCACCAGCATACTCTTTCTGAAAGCAGTACAATCTTCTTTTGTTTCTGGGCATATACCTTTAAATGGAGGACTTCTCAAATTGAAATGGAAGAGCTGTACGTTCCAGACAAGCAAAGCCTCTTTGACAAAGATCAGATACTTTTCTCTTTAAGTCATGATAATTCCCAGAACCACAACTGTGTCCTAAAAAGACAGACAGTGGTTTACTGGTTACTACTGGAACACAGAGGACACATTTCTCTCAGGCTGCCATAAGCAAAGAGATAGGAAACTAACTCAGAAATGTCCTGCTTTGAAAGTGAATTTGTACAAACCAGCTAGATAATAAATGACAAGGCAAGGTAAGCCACCTATGTACACTACTTCATTCACAGAGATGCAGCTTGGCAATTAATCTGATTTGCCAAGATCACACCCTTATTCGAACTGTCAATTATGCCTATATGCCTTGGCTTATATCACTGCACTCACACGGGGAAAACAAACAAGGACAGACTCTTATCTGCCCAGCCTTTCATCGTGGGACACGTCACGAGCTCCATAGCCACTTACAGGAATGTCTGAACTCTTGCTGATGTTACTGCCCACCTACAACCTCTCAGTACAGCATTCACTGTTTTAGTGGGAGATGAGAGACTCTGTGCTGGTCTAGAGATAATCCCAGCCCTATGGTGTCCACTGTGCCTTACTGCTTGGAAAACCCCAGTCACAGTTGGCTAGAGACTCAACTCAGGCTCAAACCCTTGTGTGCCTTTACCAATTAAGCTGATGATTTCACAGTGCAAGGTCACACGACTGGCCCTCTTTGGTGTATTGCTTTGTTATTTCGCTGCTCAACTATGAAAAACACATTTTAAAGTAACTGATCTGAGCTTCTGCCTGAGATCTTCGGATTTATCTCAAATATCTGATCTTCACGTAACCTCAACAGAACTCCTGGGGACAAACGAAGGGCAGAGGCAGATGGGTCACTCACGTGTTTCCTGAAGAGCTCTGCGTGTGGAGCTAGGGCCCGAGGGTCTGCGTCCCTCACGAACTGCATCACCTCCTCGATGGTCCAGGTAGAGGGGCTCTTGCTGGGGATTCGGGGGAGCTCTCCGTCTGTGGCCTGGGGGTCAGGGCCTGTTGTTGAGCTGGCAGCTGCGGGACACACACAACACCAGCTGATGACCGAGACTGAAGCAACAAAAGGAACATCTCACACCATCCTGCATACTGAAAGACAACAAAACTTGTGTGATTGCCATCACGATCACCTGACATGCCGCCATGTGTGAACACAAAAATTAATTACATTTTTGTTAAACATTTCCTGAAGACAGTCTCCATACACTTCTACTTTTGTTAAAGGAGTGAGATACACAGTGTTTCTACAAGATTTAAAAAGAGCTACGCTTAAGCACACTAGAGCTCCCCAAAAATTTACAAGCCACATGCTACTGTTTTATCTAGGAATTAGAAGAGGAAGATGGGATACTCCCCTCTTTCATCCCATTTCCTGAGCAGTCCACCCCGATAAGGCAAGAAGGCAGCAGGTCGTGTAAGAAACTGGAATGTTGGAGACCCTCCAGTGGCTAAGCCTCAAAAATGGCTTGACATTTTAACCAGTTCAGACCAAACTGCTATAAACAGGGAGTCAACATCACTGATCAGATCCTGGGATATCGATAACATCTCCCACCAACTGTAAACCCAAGATCCATTGAAGTGTTCTCCAATAACACTTAAAAAGCTAAAAATATATTTTTGTCATTTATTTGTTTGAGTCAAAGGCACAAGTCCAGAAGACAATTCAGGAATGAAGTAGTTAATAGAACATCTGGTCTCCTCATCCACAGAAGAGACATTACTCTAAACAGTCAGAGTGCAAACAGTCAGAAGGAAGAGGTACTTTACTGCCACTGCAATTCTTGCTTGAGCTATGAACCAAAAACGAATATTTGTGATCTAAGTATTTACTACTGGGAGGCTCCTTTTTTACCTGCACATGACTAAACTGACCTTTGACATACAGGAAGACATTTTCCTTTTGGATCTCGACAGCTTTGTCATTTTTCACCTTGCAAAGTTTCTTGGTACAAAGACTCATCTGCCTCCCGTGACTCACAGACATGCCATGGTTACTAGAGAGAGACCTAATGCACACAGACTTCAGACAACACGCACTGGAGCTGTAACCAGGAAACAGCGCTCCTGAACATTGCCCATCAAGCAGCCTGCCTGTGTCTCTATGACAGCAAGCTCATTAGAAGCACACAGAACTGCCACAATTCTTCCAGGCATGTTTGCACTCTTCATTTTGATATGATGCATTGCAGGTTTCTTCAGAATGAAGTTGAAGCGGGGCTCAATACAAACACAAACATTTATTTACTGCTTTTGAATTTTTTGGTTATTGTGTACTGAGGTACACTGCTTACCTGTAGAGGTAAAAGGATACTTTAATGTGACTGATGTAAAGGTTTTCAAGTCTGGTTTCTAAGAATCCAGAGTTTCTAAGAGGCCTACATACTTCCTGCTTTTTCCTTCCAACATAGTTTATTTACCTAATGGAAGCCTTATTGCCCTTGAGTGGAATATTTGCCAGTTTTTTTAACTCAGACATTTACAGAAGACTGGGATTTTCTGTTACTTATGAAATGCGGTAGTTTAAAGCGGACCTCCCAACATGTTTAAGAGCTGAAAGCAGTCCAACAATTTAGATTAATCCTGTTATTAAGTCAGTGAAGAGTTCAACTGTGTTCGTGAGAGCTGGGTTAGAACAAAAGCCCACAGGTGTGGGGGTTCCCAAGTATGGGGAACCCCTGTCCTACACTACATTTCTTTTATACTCCGATCATGTGTAGAAATTTCCATTTGCATGCTGATTTGTCTTCCTTGGCTCAAGTCGAGATCCTTAAGAATCTCTCTTAAAAAAAAACTAAGATGCCAAAACGACTCTTGCTCAATGATTAATAAAACGAAGGTCATAAATTACCCACTAGATGGCATTGTTGCAGCAGAAGCCCTGCAGACAGAATTAAACCCTATAAAGTATAATTAAGATACTTTGTGGAAAGAGCTTCTGTAAATGTGTTGTTGGGCAACCCGCACAGTGAACAGAGAGAATGCAAGCTTAAGTGGAGTATTTCAATGGTGAAGTTATAGGATTTTCAACTAAAGGATTCCAAAATCGCCCACTTATTCAAAACAACAGAATCAAATAAAATATGTAAAATCAAATATTTACCGTACCACCTTCCAATTCCATCATGCTGTAATTGGCATCACAAGCCTTAGATTAAACAAAGATGTACCAATCTTTGAAACAAAAACAAATATGTTCCGATTTTAGGTAAGTGTAAATTATTGTTCAAAGACTAGTTATTTTTCCTCAGGTCCAAACTCATTTGTGGCAAAGCGCCACAGTTATTATATACCCAATTCTTCTCTTCCACTGTCCGATCCTGAACTGTGAGCAGACCCCACCCCCCCACCCCGAGGAGGTTCTTACTCTGCCCACCTTCGACTCGTCGGTGCAGGCGTGTGCCGGTGAGCTCGGGCGGGGTGGAGGCGAGGCGGCGGAGAGTCGGGGGGTGGCCCGGGTAGTAGGGGGCACCGGCCGGGCTGCGGTACTCCGAGGAGCTGCGCAGGGATGGGGGCCTGGGGTTCATGGAATTGGAGGCCGAGTCCATGGACTCCTCGGAGAAACGCTGCTCCTTCAACATCCCGTTCTCCTCGTGTGGCAGTGTCTCTGCTGGAGGGAGACCAGACGGGACCCAAAGGGACTCAGCGGGACTTAACCAGACCTCCGGCACGTCGGACCACCTAGGACATTCATTCGGTGGAGCCAAGTGGTTTGAAGAAGCAACCCCTCCACATATGATGTGCGATTCCGCTTGCCATCGAGACCCAAGAGGCTATATATAACGTGAGCTGGTTTCGCCAACACATTGAATTTCTTTCTAAATAAAGAAACATTAATTTCCAGTTGGCTCCTTCCTCTCTGCCTTCATTAGTGAAGTCATGTGTGGCTCGCCAGGTCAGGAAAAGACTAATTTCAGCAGAACTGTCACAAGAGGTCGCCAAAAGTCTCCAATGTTTGAGGTGAATGATAATTATTAGTTAAAAGGTGAGGTATTGCACACTCATTGTACTCACTCAAGTAAGGGTATAATTAAGTCTGTTTGATGTATAAAGGGCTTCACAGTGGTTTTTGGTGTCTGGGTTTAGTTTTGAAGAGTAAACCTTGTATCAGGGCGGGTTTTGCCACAATAAAGACTTCACTTTGACTGCACTGCATTGTGTCGTCACGAGTTTTAACCCCGTGAGCCACTTATTTTAGGCTGGGGTCTGTCACGTTGTGTCTCTGAACACTTGTGCTGTAAAAAGCGTATGTCTTTTGACTGTCATAGTTTAACCTGGACCGTGGTGAAAGTTCAGAAGGGTTTGCTCTGCTTCCGTTTAATTTGATCCATTGTAATATTAGCAGCTTTTCATTATTTAAAACATAAAACATCAAGCCACAAGTCCCTAAATAAGTAGAAAATAATGTAACATTTAGACAAAAGCCATCCAGGAGACAAATGACAGCCATTACAAAGAACCAAAAGCAGGTCTGAGAGAGCAAAAATGTTGATTATACCCCTCCTGTGTCTTTGTGGAAGAAAGTTAATAAAGCTGTTGTTAATTGGAGGTTGTGTACCAAACTGTTATTAGACCTGTGGTTACATATGGTGCAGAAACGTGAACCCTAATTAAAGCTGACAAATGCCGTCTAAACACCTGGGAGAGGAGAGATCTGAGAAAGATATATGGGCCCGTGAGGATGAGAGGAACATGGAGAACAAGAACAAACAATGAACTGAAGAGACTACCAGGACTAAGACCTAGCTGCGACGATTAAGGCAGGACGACTACGATGGCTTGGACATGTCCAAAGGACGGGGTGGTGTAGAGGCCACCAAAGAGCTATAGGGGGACACCCAGGAGGAAGAAGTAGGAGAGGATGGTCAAGATTGAAATGGCTGGAAGATGTGGAATCAGATACAAGAGAGCCGGGTGAACTGACTGTACTGAATTTTTGTGTTCAGAAAAGTGCTAAAACTTCATAAACACTTATGCAACTTAAACACAAATATGTTATTTATAAGTATGCATAGTTAACACTATGATAAACCAAGTATAAAGACTTCAGCAAACTTTTCTTAAAACTTAGAAGAGTAAAAAGCTAAAATGTATTGTTCATTGCAGCAGGTACTGGAATTCTGTATAATGGTGAAAATCGGCATTAACTAGTTTTCCCCCCCAGAGCAAGGCACAAATTGTCTTGTGCATGACATGGCCTAACAAAATCACCCTGAGTACCTTCTGAAGGATGAGCCTCTGTTCTGAGGAGCTTGGGTGACAGGGGAGCAGTGTAGGGTGGAGAGTCCTTTGAAAAGCGCTTGGTCCCCCGATTTATTGATAAGGCTTCCGACGTCTCTTCTTTCACTGTCAAGACAAGAAACATAAGAGGTTTACCCTCACTGCTTTGACAGATTACACCTGGAGAAAAAGCAACCCTCGCAGTGTTTTAAAAATTCTTGAATCATCAGTTTAAAAAAAATGAATCCAGGACTTGGGTGAATAATAAAATCAAAGAACATGTGGACAAAAAAAAACAGTGAGAGAAGAATCATGATGCAGTGTCATCAACCTGGTGAAGCTGTGTTACAGGCATTGTTGAGTTGGACTCATAGATGACCAAATGGACTCAGACAAGAACAGAAAACTGTCCATATGCAGACCTTGAGATTGCTTCTTTGAAGCTGTTCCATTGTAATCATAGTATTGTGTGGACTTGCACTCCCTGCTAGAAAACCGTCATGCAGATTGCAGATTGATGACAAATGCACTGCTCAGAGCTATACTGAAATGTCAGTCTTGTGCTAAAGCAGATTCTTCCAAGTATATGTTCAGGACTGATCCATTTATAGATGTGTGAACGAAGCTACAATCAGACCACATATGTGGTCTTCTAGCAGGTATGTCCAGAGCAAAACACTAATTCACTCAAAAAATGGCTCTACCACTCTCTCTGCTACCATCTCAGATGTCCTCTGGCCCACAGAACTTGGTGACTTAATCTCTGAGATGTTTACAAGAAAGGACTTTGAGCATGCATAGCCTACTTATGCTTGGCTTATTTCTTCTTAGAACTTCTCATGCTGTAGTTGATGTAGTCTGAAATGATAATGGAGATGGATCAGAAGATTAAGATCCAGTGCTGCTGAAATGATCCTTTGCCTTCCAGGATGTGGCCTGTCTCTCTTAGTGGCACTTTCCATGTTCACCACAAGCCAACTATATGTAACATTACATGGTGTTGAACATGCCAGCCACAACCACTGTACGACTAATTATAATTCATATTATTAGTATATTAGGACACAAACCAATGTCATTGACATGATCCATCAACTTCCACTGCACCAAAATGGCCAATTGGATGTGTCTTAGGAGCAGCAAACATCACTGCAAAACCTGTAGGCACCAGCATGGTAACAGCTGTCACTTTTCACTGTAAAGCTAACTAGCAATATCTGCTTTATACAGCTCAGTCTTTTTACTGGCTACAGCCTTCAACTGACTAAAGTTAAGGAGCCGAGTTACTCAGCTCAGTGCTGCATTACAGGTGGAAATTGTACAATGTACTGCTGGTATGGAAATCCTACTTTAAAACTGCTTTACAGAACAAAGCTGTATCAAATTGTCAAATTAACTACACTCATGCCACAAAGGCAAACACCACATCACACTGACCTGTGTGAGTTTGGGAAATTCAGTATAACCATTATTATTAATATAATACAAGTGATAGCTTTATTCCCTGCTGAAAAGAGAAGAAAGAAACACAACATTTCAGTCGTGGAGCCTTCTTCAGGTGTGAGCTCACTTGTTCCTTTGCAGGCTATGCGTGCTGACGCTGCTACCCACCTGAACTATTAGAATATTATATTTAAAGAAGCATTAGAATGAACAGAATCACTATTAAAACATATCATATATTACATTATTCCAATGTTCACAGTGAAATAACCAAAGCTTGCCTCAATTTAATTTCTTACTTTTACTTTAAAAGAAGTGTCACTTGTCCCATTTATTAGCTCTAGTTATTAACATTTTGCAAACAAGTAAGGCTGTCATTTGTCCACCTGGCATCAGGTGTTGGGCTGGGACCTGCTCAGCTGGTTTATACTGGTGGGGTTTCTCACTGGATGAATGAAGCCAACTCGACAGCATCTAGCTTGCTGGTTATTTGACAAAAGCCCTTTGTGATTGTGGGGGAGGGGATGCTGGCTCTCAATATAAAACGCTTCTCTTTTGATGACTGCATTAAGCTAGTACAAAGAGAGGGTCATAAAGTGATACAAAATCCTGTAGTTTTTTTTTAATTCATTACAAAAATGTATGGATATTTTCCTGACTTTTTGGACACTTTTTTGTTTTTGAGGTTTGCATTCCATAAAAAGACATTTCTTGTATCAGGAAAGGCACTCAGCTGTTCCCTGAGGCTTTAACTCATTGGTGTCCACTTGCTAGTGTGTTTTTTTGTCTTATAAGCGCAACTCCTTGTAATGGAGACAATGTGCTGGCATGTTCCCCTTTATTTTAGAAAACCAGACACTTCCTCAAAAAATATATGAGCAATCAACTACAAAGCCATTATAACTTCATCATTCTCTTTATATATTTATAACACCCCTCCATCACAAAGTATTTGAGACAGTGAGAATGGCAAGAAATCTTGGTACCAATGGATCTCCAGGACTGATGTGCAGTCTGGAGAACAGGCAGGAGTAGTGTTAATTTAGTCACCGGTTTTTCATTTAGTCATAGTTTTAGTCAAGTCGACTAAAGTGTCTATTAACAGTAGTCACTTTCTAGTCAAACACTTTTAATTTACTCCATTCGACTAACTTTTGACTTTAGTTTTACTTTTAGCTGACTAAAATAGAATGAGTTTTAGTCACATTTTAGTCATGTAGTTTAATTTATTTGGAAAATAAAATGTGTGAAAGTATTATAAAATGTATTTCTAAGAAAATATTTAACACATCTGATAAGATTCTGTTAAAAAGCACAAGTCTTTGTTGCACAATCTAAAGTGTATCGATCCCCAGAAAGGTAAAATATCAAAAACTATTTTTTCAAAGTGACAATAGCAGCCATATCACTCTGCTCACAAATGGCAGCCCACTGAAGCTCAGCAGGCATGAGCCTAGTCAGTACGTGGATGGGAGACCTCCTGGGAAGAACTAAGGTTGCTGCTGGAAGAAGTGTTATTGGGGCCAGCCGCTCACCAGAGAAGCGCTATATGTGTAAGCAATTGTTAATATAAATACAAGAAATAATTGTGCAATAAAGGGTTAATAATAAATAATCTAACACAGAGACATTGTACGAATCTTTCCAAATAAGAAAATCTGTTTTGGTAGTGTTAATTATAATTCTGTACTTGTTTATGTTTTTTTTTTTTCAAAGTGACTTTTTATAAAGTTTCAAAGCAACATTATTATAAAATTTGGTTCAAGGATCCTGACAATACTGTATTTGCAATAGCTATAGGGCAATTACTGCATGAATTACTTAAAAATATTAAAACAGGACAAGCAATATATATACTCACTGGTATAATATTAATAACAACTAGCCATTTTGATGCCATTACAGCCAAAAGACTACCATAGTCTAAGTGATAACAATGTTGTGCTAGTATCATGTTTCAGGTGTGTCACAACACTTTCACTCTACATTCTTTTGAAGAAATATATAAATGGGAAATAAATACCTGCACGCACTGTAAGATGTTGGCGTTACAATAATATTTTCACATTAATCTTAACTCTCAGCCACACGAACAAACTACATGTAATTAAAGAACATTATTTTCTATTGGTTATTAAGTGCTGTGAAATAAAACAATACACAAAAAGTATTTTACAGACTCACTTAAAATAATAAAAATCACATTCACGAAGCTGAAATGCAGTGAATTTAGAGTGTTTGACCAAATTTCATGTTTTGAACACATTAATCTCTAGCCAAGAAAAAAAACAGTGATTTCCTGAAATGCAAAGTGTAAAACACAGTTTATTCTTGCTTCATTTTCTGGTTAATTTGTTGACTAGCTACAGTGCATAAAACTGATGTTTTAATCCATAAGTGTCTGGAATGCTGCAACTCATGTTTTGTAGAAATACTCTTTTCTGATTCACTTCCTATATAAAGTACTGCCTCACTCCAGATCTTTTTCTTCCAGCTGAAACCATGGAGAACCACAAGCATTTCTTGAGTTTTCGTGACCTTTTGTTGTAAAAAACGTACTAGTTTAAATATTTAATCTTAGCATGGCATATACATCTCATTGTTTATCTGGGTACAAATCAATTAAGAAACAATAAAACTTCATGACAGTCAAAGTGAGGTGAGGTGTCAAAAAGACCCGCTAGAAATAAGGGACAGTTAAAAACAAAAGAGAAGAGGAGAGAAAGTGGCACACCCCAATACTTGTGATTCTCACACATTAGTAGCCCTGAGGCACTACGCAGTCCACTTAGCCACAGCCCATTACGGACAACCTGCTGTTTTACAGACGGACCGTTAATGCGCAAACGGTGAAATGAGACAAAATTAATTTCAGTATGAGTCAAACAGGTTACGTTGTCTTAACTCATTCAAACAAAAATGCAAAACAATTTAAGTCTTCGTCATCGTCATTGTGGATTATTTTTGTGAGCGTTTCGCCTTTGTTAACTAGAATGAAGAAACAGGTCGTTGACGAACATTTTCGTCATAATTTCCGCCGACTAAACGAACAATGCGCAGGAGGCGGGTCAAGGTCCCCCCACCCCCAGGGCCTTACCCGACTTGTTCCTGTCGTAAGTGCTGTGCCCGTGGACGGCGGCCACATAGGGGCTGAAGGGCTGACTGCTGAAGAGGTTCTCGCACTGCAGGTTGTGACACAGCATCTCCAGGAAGCGCAGGACGAAGGAAGCGCTGTTCACCGAGGGCAGCTGCACCAGGTGTTTCCCTCCATCAAACGAGGCTGAGAGACAGAGGCCAAAAAACGAGCGGTCAGTCCTAAGCACACCTCTCAGCAGGAGGAATACTAGTGAAGGTAGTCATTTCTTTTGCTACTTTTTGCACTTTTCTCCATATTGATTTCCTGTCTTCAGCTCCGTTTAGTTTTCTTTTTGTTCTGCACCTCTAAAAATACATAATCTGCATTTTCACACCTTTTCAATTCTGCACACTGACACACTGTCCTGAAAAAAAAAGAACAATGAAGACAGAAAGCTTTTTTTTTAAGCTTTTGTACTTTTGTCAGTATTACAAATAAAACAAATCCCAGGGTGTAAATCTCATTGTTGAAAATCTGACAGTTCCATAGAAAGGTGTTAATAAGAAGTGAGAAAAAAAAAATCACACTTGCAGAGCTGAAGGGAAAACTAGGTGCACAAAACCTGTTTCAACAGCAATCATCCCATGTCAAATTCTTGGGGGAAAAAAATCATGAGTTTGCTTTTCTGCAGCAATCGATTTACACCTTTTCAGTAATTCTAAAGATACATGCAATGTAAATGTAACAGACATTAATGGTCAAATTAAGGATTTCTGATTACTACAAATCTACAATAACTTCTTAAAATAATTTGATAGGTAGATACTTAATTGTCCACTGCTGTGGAAATTTGTCTTTGGCTTCTCCCACAGAAGTACAAAACACACAAGCAAAACATAAGTCACATAAAACCATATGAAATCACAACAACAGTGTGTGATACACAGACAGGTGGATAAATAAATAGGCAGCGGGGGAATATATTAACATACCTTCATTGAGTAGTTTTATTGCAGAGGGGACAAAGGACTTCTTACAAATGTTTTCTTTTATAAGAGTAACATTTGTTACTAGGACATTTATACTCTTGGCCCATATATACAGTACATCAGATTCCTAAAATACAGCGATTATGTGTCTCTCAAAAAGCTGGACAGTGTCACATGTTACTAAGTTCTCTTATTGTGGATAGGACAGACATCAGTTAAGCAAAGAATAGAAAGCCAGGATACAGCAGATGGCAGAACAGAGCTGAGCTTGCAGGCTTTACTCGTGTGACGACCCCTGGGAAGAAACTCAATCCACCACTTTAAAACCAGCTTATGTGGAAGCTGTCAGTTCTCATTACAATAAGAGAGATTAAAGAAGCTTCCGTTTTTTGCTGTCTTTTTCCATCCTGATAAAAACCTAACTTTTCTATGTTAATAGACCTGATTGTAGATATTTTTTATTTTTGCCTTGGACTTGATTATAATCTATGACATAGATTAGGCTACAGGCTCTTTGGTCTATTATTTCTCAAGACCACAATTCTACATGATCATACCCACACAACACAAATTTTTCTTCCATTTTTCTATTGGCATTACTGCAATAAAAGACCAATAGGGGGCGCTCACCCTGTGGTCTTTGTGGGTCCTAATGCCCCAGTATAGTGATGGAGACACGGTACTGTAAAAAAAGAGATGCCATCCTTCAGATAAGATGTAAAATCTAGGTCCTAACTCTCTGTGGTCATTAAACACCTCTTTTACCAGTTCAAACTGGAAATTGGTTTATACTGTTCCTACCAGAACCACGTAAATGCCCACAAAGTGGCTGAACCCACGACAAGTTCTGTTTTTCTTTTTACTGTTTCGAATACACCCTGAACACCCCTACAGACCCAAGAGGATTTTAATATACACCTGTATTTTCCAATCAAGTATTTTCCATTCGGGTCAGCACACTGGACTGAGGATTTATGTTTCCGTAACGGTGGCGAGGGCTGGGCTGCAGTGGCAAGGGTACCTGAGATGAGCTCTCCTCCATGATGGCCCGCCTTGAGGAAGTTGAAAACAGTCTTGGGCTGGTAGGCGCAGTCCACACACGCCTGCACAGCCTGCTGCAGCACCACGTTGACCGGGCCCGGACCAAAGTGATCTGGCAGCTGCTGCACCTGCTTCCGGTCCAAGTGAGGTCCACAGTTGCCATGCTTGTTCACGTACACACACACTGCAAACCAGCAAGGAGACGGGTCAGACTGGAGCAGGCAGTCTCAGGCCAAACACAGCCCAGAATCTTCGGGCCTGGTACAGCGAAACCTCTACATGAATACACGCACCAGGAATAACACCACTCAAGCATTAAGTGCACTGAAAGGATTATAGAGTGTTTAGTCCAAATTTGGCTTAACCCGCTTGGCTGAGGGCTGACCTCCTGGCCAAAGGACGAGGAGGCTGGGACCCCCATACAGAGTGAGGGATGACCAAGGGGCAGCTGCAGAGGTAGAGATGGGGTGGAGGTGGGATGCAAGAAGGTGTTTGTGAGAGAGAGAGAAAAGGGGATCATGTACAGTATTTATAGTGTTTTAGGAGAGGAAATGATGTCAGGAGTGACTGCAAATTATTGATATCTACACCTGATTGAACTTGATTATTGTCCCTCCCTCCTAAACATTAAGCAAAGCAGAAACAAAGATGTAGTTCCTTTTGACCAATTACTTGGGCTGGTCTTCTGTTTTCTTTTTTTTTTACCTGTAGAGATGACCGCAGGGTTTGAGTTGAGGTGGTTAGGCCCTTCCTTCTGTACCTGAGTGCTGTTCAGCTTTGTTTCAGGAGCAACTGTGGAAGTGCCTGATGGGATAGGGCCCTGGGCCACTCGTGGCTTCCTCTGAAAGACAGAGACGGTCTGGAGTCATTAATTGCTAAAATATAATTTGACAGCCTTAGCCGTGTTACAGTTCCCAGAAAACAACTGTAGAATTTGCAAGAACTTGTGATTTGCACGAAAAATTTTAATAGTTCTTATGTGCGAGTTTAAATTGAGGATACCAAGAGGAAGATTTCAATTTAACATATGTTCCGCAAGAATAAACAAAGCATATTTAAGTTAATCATCTTATTCCCAAGAGCAACATCTCTCATTATTCCGTCCTATGTTTAATCTACATTGTCCGCGAGGAAGCACAGTTTGCACTGGACACCAATTTTGTTTTCGCTGACACTGTCTAAAACAACTGATAGCCACACTCTTTCCTTCTTATTATAAGGTACTAAATACTTATCCAATTAAAACATTTCTAAGAGTTCTTCAATTCAAAACACCAGCAGGACAAGAATAAAAAAAAACACACAAGCACCCAAAAAAAAACCTCAATGGATAAAAAAAGCAACAGTTAATTTCAGTGCTAAGTGGTGTAACAGAGACGACAACAACCCCTTGCCCAAGGTGTTGATCCAGATTTAGCCTTATGAATCCGTGGATCCATTTGAATCGGCTTTTTAACGGTACCTTGCTCCCGGGCTTCGGACCTTTCTTTTTGGGTTTGGGGGAGTGGTGTGTACTGGAGGTAGTCTTGGCCGCCGTGCTCTGGGTCACAGCGCTGTTCTGTGCTGCCGCTGCCTCGGCTGCTGCTTTCAACAAGGCCAGGGTCTCGCTCTTCGGCCTGCGCCCCCGAACCCCCTTCCTGACAGGCAGGGGGGGCAGCGGAGGGAGCTTGTGGGGTGACTGCATGGAGCGTCTTGTGGGCTTGGTAGGCGAGGACACGGACGCTGGGAGGCTCTTTGGAAGCGTGACTGAAAACAGGACGAAATGAAACGAAATGTGAGCACCACGTCCAACGGAAAAACGACACCCAAATGCGAGAAAAAGAGAACTGCCAGGGTGTCTGTTATGATAAGCAGGGAAGCCTCCCCCCACCCCCGTTCATTTTTTACATATGCTTTCTGCCCCCGAGTTGACACACATACATAAATAAAGCTCCCTAGACTATGCAGAAGGACATTTTAAACATACATTAACCAGACAGCATTGTAAGATTTTAAAGAGCAGAAAAATATCAATACCCTCAAGCACAATCTAGCCATAAATTCTGCAGTTTTAAAGTAAAAGCAGGAGTAGTAGGTAATGCACCAGGAATAGCAGCTGTTCATCTGTTCACTAATTAATATATATTTTAAACCACAAAAAGACATGCCATTCATTACAATGAGAAGTACAGAAGCAGGGCTGAAGCACTGCTTAAACAGATACTGACAAGTAGATCACGCTTGGCTTTTTAAAGTGAGGCCTGCATGCACAGAAATCAATAGCTGCACTAAAGTGCATTAAAAATGTAGCCAAGGAAAAGTCAGCAGCCAGCCCATACACTTTATGCATGCAAAAAATTGACATAATGAAGCTTTAATCTTCATTCTTTGAGTCGTAGTCTCTGAAACCTCAGCCTTTCAATTTAATAACCCGAGTTTCAACCAGAGACCCAGCTGTACTTGAAGTACAGCACTTTATTTCCTGAAAGACCATTTTTTTTATTGTTAGTTTTTAACTCCAGTCAGCTTTCTGGGGTACTGCACTAAAAGCATCAACCTAATTAAACAGATAAAAGAAAAACCCTGTTGAAAACAAATGGTTACCTGAAACCAAACGGAAAAGAGCATTCAGAAAGATCCCTTTCCCTTTTTACAACTTTCCTCAAAGTTTTGAAACTTGCTGGTATGCAGCACTCCCCCTGGTCTGCCACTGTGGAGAGCTCTGGTTCACTGATAAGTCTTTTGTTTCAAGGTGCACCTCCCCCCTGTTCATTAGGGGTTGTAACGAGCTTTAAATCCCAGCTCCCTTGGGAGTCCTCAGCCTGGCTGTGGTAGCACTAAACAGCAGACAAAAACTCCATAGTCATTCTTAGCTGGCATTCATTTCTCACCTATTCTGAAAAAAGCAAGAATGACTGTGGTCTCACAAGTTTCACAGTTTGAAAACCTCGGCCTGAGCTATGAGTACAGCTCAGAATCACTTTTCTGTTGCTTTGGTCTAGGAAACGGAAGTAAACAACATTGAAAGTATACGCAAGTGGCTATTCCAGAAAATGTGACACCTAATCTGCAACGAAAATTAATTTTGTGCTAAACCACCACTATCCAATACCTGTAACGTTTTTGAAGACCAATTCACACAAGATCCACTTCAGAAATGCAGCCAATTTCTGAACTTCTAAGTTAGTTTTTGAAAAGGCTGTCTACAAAAATCAGTGTTGTAAATAGTATACATCCTCATAACAATCCTTTTTGTAAGGAGTAATACGAGTATTTGTAACCTTACTCTTCATTTTTTTCATTTTTTAAAATTTAACAAAGGCAAAATACACTAAGCATCAAGGCTTGGGGTGCAGAACAACCTTTGCTTTACCATCAAAATCCTTCTCAAGATTGTGTAAATAATACGCAGATGTACACACACAAGCAGCCTTTAGCTTAATGTATTTGTGAAAACTGCTGAGAGCCTGGGAAGGTACAACAAAGTTCGGTGTTTTTACCTTCGTATTGAGGCCAAGAGGTCTGCTGGCTAGCAAAAAAGAAGTCTACTTCTACTGGAAGCTTGATGTGAGTGTTAACAGATTCTTTTAGAATGTTACATTTTAAAAAGGTGAAGAAATAAAACTCAAATGTAAAAGGAAAAAAACACATTCTCTCGAATCAAGTAAGTTGAGATTCTTCAGGAGCTGTAGTATGTCAGTTTTTAGGACTAATGTACAACAGATTTGGCAGTAATTTGAAACCAAATAAAACAAATTAATTTACAACACGATGAGCAGTTGTAATGCCTGGTGGGAATTATATTTTGAATGCTGAATAATGATCCTTATTCAAACATGAATTAAATGTTTTAAATGTAGCTTTTGTATTATGAAAATGAGTTAAGAAATGGAATTAAGCAGCTTCGACAACTGGAATGTCCTCTAATGAGCATGATTCCTCCTTTCCGAGATCCTTTCCTCTTTTGTTTTAGACAACAGTTTGAAACTTCATCCAATAAGCAGCTCTGACTAGAATCTGGAAATGAATCCAATGATTCCTTTGAAGACCACGGAGACTGTGGAAAAAAAAAGTGCTCCAACCACATGTATTACACATAGCCACACAACAAGTATAACCCAGCGCTATGCAGCTACATTCAGAGTGAAAACTAATGGCTGCCTGCGCTTTGAAACCCTCTCCCAGTTTGATCAGATCAGCACTAATTGGGAGTAGAAAGCAGAGAGGACACTGGCTAAGTGGAGCTGAGAACAGAGGAGTGTTTGAGCTCCTCGGGCTCGTTTTGTTAAGCTCTGTGGATTGTAAGAGCTCAGTCAGCACACAGAGTGTAAGGCTCATTGCTGAAGCTTGGTTCTGGTGCCCCAAATCTTCCTCTTCTCGCTCATGCTTCAGGTCTTAAGAGTGGGAATTAAGCAACTGCTCAAGTACTGCAGATAAAAAAAGCTGGGCTCACAAGCACATTTCCATAAACATCCTCCTGCAGTATTAAACAGGCATATGGAGCTGATCATGATGACTTCATTTCCATCTGACCTACTGACCTGCATGCTGAAAAAGAGACGCTGGGTTTGCGATTGGTTCTGGTAAGAAGTCTGCTGGAGACAGGAATACTTCTGTGTTCATTACATTATTGAAAATATTTACATTTGACTAATTCTGATTCTATTCTTGTTGTTGATTCCCATTTTATGTCTGACATTGCTGATATTCTTCACTTTAGTGCAAATCACAACCACATGTCAGTGATCTGCGTTTGCACTGAATTGGCTTGAGTATTGTATGGCACTCGTCATATTGCCCAGAGGGAGTTCAATAAAACAATACCATCTGTAGAGCGTAATACACCAAAATATTAGTTACAACTTAAAGCCTATTCTTTGTCTTCTTCTAAAAAAAAAATCCATCATGGTTTAGGTCCTAAATTTCTGACAGAAAGACACAAACAAAATTTCATTAATCAAAATTGCTCATAAATTATAATGTTGCTAGTAATGCTTTTATGCTGTGTTCATAAAAAAAAACACATCCCCTCTCAATGTAAATAATTACATCAAATTACATCCTCTGCGTGGCCCTATATTGTCTAATCAAAAAAGCATCAGAGAAACAACACAGATAGATCAAGTTCCCCAGTGTTGGTCAGTATATTCTCCAAGGTGCTTTTTCCAATGATATAGCAATGGTACAAAACACCATCTCTGTGGACTACTGCGCTCACTTCAGATTTCTACAAAATATAGAGATGCTTCATTTAATTATCGGTTCCAAAAACACAGAGGTAATCTATCAAAAAAAAGGTAATCTATCAAAAAGGCATTCAGTAAAGTCAACTCACAAGCCATAGATACAAAGTTAGAAGCTCTGACAAGCAACAGCTTAACAATGAGTCAACAGCAATTTTCTTGTCATGCATGAAAATAAATGCAAAAGCACATGTAACTCCCAAGTAAAAGGGAATTTCCCAATTCCAAAAACAAGGTTCCAACTATTAAGATATCTTTCATTACCAGCCACATGTGAGAATAAGCCAAATTGCAAGACAGACACTGCACAAAGCAGTCAAAACTCACCACAAAACAAAAGATTCAGTTTATGCATAAACAAGAGTTCCGTTCCTCACCTCGTACTGACTGATTGGACCCGGAGTTCAGCAAGATGTGCTGTGTGGTTCCTCACTTCCTAACTCTTAATGAACAAGTTGCTTTTCTTGAATCGCACAGACAGCCAACAACAAAGCCCATGCTGACAGAGCAGCACTGGAGCTAACCCTGAATGAGCAATGGCTTATTTGCATCAGAGTAAAAAAAAAAAGGCGGGTGTGTGTGGTGGTGGTGGTGATGGGGGGGCGCTAGAGCTAATATGCATATTATCAGTGGGCCGTATTGACAGTACTCATCAGTCACCTGCTCTCACAGGCCCCTCCCAGGCTTTCGGGGGGGCAAAAGGTTAAAATGGATCAGAGAACCCGGAGCGACAAGAGAGCAAAAAGGGCTCCTGTTGGCTGCATTAGTGGGGCGTCGTGTACCCCCGAGGAGGGTTTGCACAGTAACTCAAGCCTATTCAAAAGTCCCCAGAGGACAAGCTGAAAAGCAGCTTCAAAAAAGCAGGAAACAGTAGCGCATAACAGCATTACCCAGCTTGAAAAGTATGTTAAACTACCCCCTTTCTCAGTCTTAATGAAGAAAGGGAAGGCAGACAAAGGAACCCTGATCTTCAGCAAAAAAGTAACCTAATGCCATTCATATATTTAACTGGCACTTTACTGGGAGTAGCTTGACATTATTTGAAAACAAAATTTGCAATGCAGCAATTTCTCTCCATCTTCTCACTTTTTTATCATCAACACAGCGATTTGTTTGCTTTAGTTCTGAATCAAAAAATGTCCAAATGCACAAATTGTGACTATTTAGAATATATTGCAGCGTCAATCTTTCCTCTGCAATGACAATGTAGGCGCAGCAAAGAAAAGGTAAATTCCAGAATTAATCTTACAGGAAGCAAGGGAATATTAGTTTACGTCACTTGTGGAAATCTTGAAAATTCACTGTCATTATTAAGACTGGCAATTTAGAAACTCTGTCAAAGAGGGAAAAAAAAAATGGAGAAATGAATGGACAATTCTGCCAATACAACTGAAACCTTATTTGGGGGGAAAAAAAAACAGAGAAAATCTGCATGTTAATTTAGTTTTTCCAATAAAAAGATCAAACAGTATCTTGAGGTCTGTTTTGATTAAAACAAAGGACGAATAAAATACCACTTTGATG